GGAGCTGCTACCCGCAGGAAACAGACAAGCAGTGTCATTATGACACGTCAGACAAGGTTCTACTGGAACAATGCCGACGGTGGGAGCTCAAAGTTTCGAATTGGAACGTTGCTTGTGCCAGGGAAAAACCCGGAGCTACTTGACGAGATCCAAATATGCCGCTGGACATAATTCGACTTGGTGTGACCTGACTTGATTGAAAAACCTCGATCCGCTTTACAAGCGGCGGAAGTGGGATTTCCGAGACGAATCGCTGGGCTCACGCGGTTCACGTGGTCTTGAGTAAAGATGTCGGAAAAAGCTTTGTAGTGTGTTCAACTGCTGCTTCTTCAGATGAGAAGTCACAGCTGCGATGGTTACGATGGCACATCTTTCGAATGCCTCTCGAAGGGAAAGGTGAATCACTTCCTACTGCCAACTCGACCTGTGTAAATCTTGGGAACGGTCAGTAATGACCTCTGCCCTCTTCTCCAGGGTCGAATACCGGAGCTCAAATGCTGGTGCAGGATCGCGAACGCTGAATACACTGTTTGAGGTTTCTGCCTGTGACAAACGAGACTACAGGAGGCATTGGAAACTGACTGACTGATTCAATATGACAAATACGTAATGATAAACAAAGCGCCTTACTGGTTCTGGCCGGCAGTCTTCGCTGTGCAGCGATCAAAGGCTTCAAGGAAGTCGTCGTTGAGCTCTTTCTCTAGCTTTGGGAACAGCTGGTGATCAACTGTCCTCCTTGAGGCGCACCTTAGCACTCGTCCGAAGATTCTTCGACAAGGATCGCGCTAAATATACGCATCAAGTCTGAAGATTCGTCCATTTGGGAATACAAAATAGCTTGAACATTACTTCAGCTGTGGCAATTGATCCGTTTATTCCTGTCACTGAGTGTTGTAACTCAAAACGCGGCGACTCACCTGTTGAGAGACGCCCGACACGGCAACGACGAACAGCATCATAAGGCAGAGGCAGGCGACGCGGTCCATGCCTTGTATGTCAGCAGCAGTTAACTATGAAACGCACACGACCAACTCGAACGCTACGTTTAAGCGAGTCGCATATTTGCGGTGGTAAATAAGCCGTTGAGTGGCAGACGATCGCCGGCTCCAGTTTCACTTCACAAACGAGAAAGAAAATTTCCTGTCTTTGGACACCGAGCGTTTTGCGTTCCACCGTTTGTACATTGTTTTGACCGAAGAACTATTTTTAATGATACTGATTATAGCGTCTCCACCGCTTGCGAACTACCAGCCTCGGCCGGATCTAAATTCGTCATGCTGGTTGACTCCAAAGCTAGTTATATGCAAAAACCCGGCCTACACATTTAATTTACTCCGGTTTGTTTGCCCGAGGAAATCGGCAAATGCCTGAACAAATTAATTCTTTGTCCCACCGAACAGTGCATATGGCGATGTTAGGCATCA